AGTTATTTCAACAAAAAAACATCAAATTGGAAATGTAACGCAGGGAATTCTGGGAATGTCAATTTACAGTTATTCACTGTATTCACTGTTATTATTATACAGTTATTCACTGTAAATTATACGGTCTGTTTCACTTCCAAAAACAGTATACTACCGTAAAATTAATGTCCAATACATGTAATGTCCAATACAGTTTTTCACCGTATATAGTAGGGGAATTTACCGTTAACCATTTAACAGGTTTTTTAACAGGCGTTTGTACAGTCTTTTACCGTTAAATTCACGGTCATTTTTTACAGTGTATAGTATGGTATATTGTAGTACCTTGGAGAACTATGTGAAAACCATGGTAATCATTCATTACCATAGTATTTCAAAGTACAATGTGATATCACCACTGTACTGCTATATTTGCATTCCCTTTGGACACATATAAAGAAACATTAACCTGTGTTTGAAGCGTGTGCCAGTTTTTTTAACAAAATCAACCCTGTAAAGGCTAGCTGATGTGAATATACTGTGGCGATGTGTATCTTTCCACCTCTGTCACACTAGATTGCACATTCAGAAATCCAGTTTAAGGATTAACTGCCCTTGTTGGTCAACGTTAAACCATTTGTTATAACCAGCGCGTTACACTAATAAAATCCCAGGAAACTCACGTGCACGCTATTAATCTTGCTTTTAAAACACTTATGAGTGCATAACTCAGTTTATGCACAATCACACCCAGATTTATAGCAGCCGTCGAAGTGTGTGTGTGTGTGTGAGCCCTTCATAAACACTTTCCCTGAGTAGTGTACACAAAGAATCTGTGTGAAAATCCAGTGCTCTAATGAATGCGTTCAAAGGTTAAGGACTTGCATTCTGCGTTGTTAAAATCAGCAAGTTCTCTATTGAAAAACGTCTGGAATTTATGCAATTATAAACAGATGGTTCATCCAAAAAATGAGAATTCTGTCATCACTGTATGCTTTCTTTTTCTAATGTGGAGCACAAAAGAAGATACTTTGAAGAATGTGGGTAACCAAACCGTTTTGGCTCCTACTGACTTGCATAGTATTTCATTGTCCATAATATGGAAGTCAATTGGAGTCGAAAACATTTGGTTGCCAACATTAAAAATATCTTCTTTGAAAAAGTATATGACAGAATTGTAATTTTTGGGTGGACCAAAATAAGGCAAAGATTTGGTAAAAGCACAAAACTGAGTGAGATTTATTGAACCATTTTGGGTCCAAATGGACCAACTTGCACAATGACATGCAAGTCCAATGGACAACATACCAAAATATTGGTTAGTAAGTCAAATGGTGACTAGGTAAGCTATTATTATGTTCTGGTGTATATATGGGAGACCATTGCAAATATAATTTTTGCATTACTATTTACTCCAAAAGCAAGAGCAAAAAATCCAATATTGCATTCCCATGACTTTCCAAAATATGAAAAAAACAGAGATGGATTCAAGTTATTGCAGAAATGAGTCATTACAGTCTGTGATAAGAGTCCATTAGTCTGTGTGCAACATACCAGTACATTTACAACTCATTTGTGTTCAAAACCGCTCAAGTTAATAGCAGCTAACTATTCATATTACAGGTCACCGTCCATTAAGGAAATCCACAGCTTTAACCTTCACAATTCACCATGAAGATTTACAATAACAGACTATTGCAATAAAATACATCCACTTGACCTTGACCTTCTTATGGTTAAACATTTTACACACTAAACCAGTTTTAAAATCACATTAAACGTATCCCTGTAGACAGCGGCTGAAACTGCATTGTAAATCAACTTCAGTGAACAATTCATTCCCTTAATACACCCTAAATAAAGAATAAAAATGAAATAAAATGGTGTCATTAAATGCCATTTCAAGTTTTTCATCTGTACCATATGGAAGGTGAAAATATGGGTTTGTTGCACAAAAAACATTGTCTATGTGGCATGTGACAGCAGCATTTAATAGATGATATTGAACATTAAAAATATCAGACGCTTGATTCGTCTTCCTGGAAATCAGCCGCTCGCATGGCATCCTTGATAAGACCAGCCAGTCTCCTGAAAGCCTGTGGACGAAGAGGAAAGAGCCATAAATGACAAAGTAAGGCCTTATCCTGAAGTACAGATCAACATCAGATGCACTTGAGTCTATTAGTGGTCAGAATATACTATTAGTAGGCATAATATAGAATGAAAACTTATAAGTGATAAGTGACAAACAATGATATATTGCAGTTCAAAAGGGTTAGGGTTTTAAAGAAAATTAATACTTTTATTCTTAATGCAGTAAATTGATCAAAAGTGACAGTGAAGACATTTATAATGTTACAAAAGACTTCTATTTCAAATAAATGCTGTTGTTTTGAACTTTCAATTCATAAAAATCTTGGAAAACAAAATCACAAAAAAACAGCACAACTGTTTTCTACACTGATAATAATGATAAATGTTTCTTGAGCAGCAAATCAGCATATTAGAATGATTTCTGAAGATCATGTGACATATCCTTCATGATCATATATATATATATATGTGCAGGGTGTGTATGTGAGATATATATATATATATACAGTGGGGAAAAAAAGTATTTAGTCAGCCACCAATTGTGCAAGTTCTCCCACTTAAAAAGATGAGAGAGGCCTGTAATTTTCATCATAGGTATACCTCAACTATGAGAGACAAAATGAGAAAAAAAAATCCAGAAAATCACATTGTAGGATTTTTAAAGAATTAATTGGTAAATTCCTCGGTAAAATAAGTATTTGGTCACCTACAAACAAGCAAGATTTCTGGCTCTCACAGACCTGTAACTTCTTCTTTAAGAGGCTCCTCTGTCCTCCACTCGTTACCTGTATTAATGGCATCTGTTTGAACTCGTTATCAGTATAAAAGACACCTGTCCACAACCTCAAACAGTCACACTCCAAACTCCACCATGGCCAAGACCAAAGAGCTGTCAAAGGACACCAGAAACAAAATTGTAGACCTGCACCAGGCTGGGAAGACTGAATCTGCAATAGGTAAGCAGCTTGGTGTGAAGAAATCAACTGTGGGAGCAATTATTAGAAAATGGAAGACATACAAGACCACTGATAATCTCCCTCGATCTGGGGCTCCACGCAAGATCTCACCCCGTGGGGTCAAAATGATCACAAGAACTGTGAGCAATATATATGCAGAGTGTGTGTGAGTGTGTTGTATACACCTCATCGATCTGTTGAGGTGTGGAGAGAGAAAAGGTGGCTTTAACATACAGACACGGATCAGAGCTGTTGATGTTGAAAACTCCTTCAGGAACCAGAAGAACCTACACACAGACACAGACACAGACACAGACACAGACTCAGACACAGACACAGACACAGACACAGACACAGACACAGAA